TTTTATAACTACTCAATTTATCGATTACTGAATTAAGCCTTATATTGGTGGTTGAGTTAAGAGGCACGAAATGTTAACTTTATTATCCGTAGCCACAGTCTTGGGAGTTTTGTTTACTATTGACGGAGAAATAACTTCCTTGCTAAAAACACCTTTATCACGGCTAGCGGTCAAAATTGAAAGTGCTCCCTGAGACGAGAAAAAGAAAAAAACTTTGTTGTCCCAAACCCAAAAGGCTAATGAAATGTTTAAAGAAACCTTTAAAAAATTCGGTTTATTGGCTATTCCTCCCACTTTAACTGGTCTACTAGGACTGGTTTGAAAAAAACTAGCCTCTAATTTTTGTTATCTCTTGCCCCTTCTTTGAGCTAGTTGAAAAATTTGACAGTCGGAAAGGCTAATAAGAAAGATTAAGGAAATTAAAAAGGGGAAAAATAATTAATGCCTTATAAAGATATTGAGAAAAAGCGGGATCGACAACGTTAACAGTTTAAGAGGGATCGACATTGCCGGGATCGACACAAATTTTCGAGCGGTAGGGATCGACAAGAATGTCGAACCCTTAAAAAATGTCGCCCCTATTACCTCGAATGTTATAAGTGAACCCGAGCCAAGTATTAATATTAAACGCTTAAAAGATAAAGGTTTTTCCACAGAGAAAATTAATAAACTTTGTGAACTTCAAAACGAAATTACTCGCTTGAAATTAGAACTAGATGGAATGAAAAAAACTCCATTAGCCATCGAGAGAAGTTCGACCAACAAACTCTTAATAGATTGTCCGGTATTTTCCCAAGAACTCAATAAAGGTAATTATCGTTATCGTGTGTTGGACGATTGACGAGTTATTTACGAGATAAAGCAAGGAAAAATATAAAATTGATATTATAAAAGACTTCGATTTCCGTTTAATGGAAGAGTTAAACAAAATTTATCTCCAATTTTGTCGAGCGGGGAGAAAAAAAAGCTAAGAATTTGCTATTCGAATTTAAAAAGGTAAAAAAATTAAAAGTAACAATATATTTAAGAAAGAAAAATAGAAAAAAACAATATGATAAAACGCTATTCTCGTTACTGATTTAAATTAAGAAAGCAAATTTCTATTCCAACCAGACGCATTTCTAACCGAGAAATTGGGGATGATATAACCACTTTAAATAAATATATTAACCGGCAGGGGCAAATTATTCCTCGTATTTATACCAAATTAAGTGCCAAGGACCAGCGTAAAGTAGCAAAAAAAATTAAAACCTTACGACAAATGGCTTTATTGCCTTATACCATAGTGGAGCAAAATGAGCAAATGAGAGAAAAGACGGACCAAACTCCGACTTAAAATATTGTTTTGCTTTTGGTAATTAGGTCTTAAAAAATTACCATAACGCTGGAAATTTCTTTAAAACCCAACAGACAAAATAAATTATTATGTTCTATTACTTATGAAAAAATTTGGCTTTAAGGAAATATTTTACTCGTCGTGGCCAAATATTAGCACGGGAAAAAGAGATTAGTTTGTTAAGCGACTCGGAAATCCAAACTAGACTTAATTTCTGACGCGAAAAAATTCAAAATAGCAAAAAAAGTGAACGAGAAAAGTTGCTAGATGAATGCATAGTGCCAGTTTTTGCCCTCGTTCGGGAAGTCATCCGTCGCCAAATTGGGCTGTTGCTTTTTCCCACCCAAATTTTTGGCGGGCTGGTTCTCCACGAGGGGAATATCGCCCAAATGAATACGGGAGAAGGCAAAACCTTAACAGCTTTTTTGCCAATCTGCCTTAATGCTTTGACCGGAAAATCCGTTTTTGTGGTAACTGTGAACGAGTATTTAGCCCAACGTGATTGACAACAAGCCAAACCAGTATTGGACTTTTTTGGTATTCCTTCCGGAGTTAATTTACGGGATTATTCGGCCGTTGAGAAGAAAGATTTATATCATAATTGTACGGTTATTTACACCACCAGCAGCGAGTTAGGTTTTGATTATCTTCGGAACAACCTGGTAACTAATATTGACGAGAAGCAGAAGCAGGATTATTATTATGCCATTATTGACGAGGTCGATTCTATTTTAATTGACGAAGCCCAGAATCCCCTAATTATTTCCCGACCCACCCGAGGAAAAGGCAAAATTCACCCTCTCGAATATCAACTAGCCACGAAAATAGCTAGTTTGCTCGTGGAAAAAAAAGATTATATCGTTGACCAAAAAGATAGAAGTTTATGATTAACGGAAAAAGGAGGAAAAAAAAGCGGAAAGTTTTTCTCCCTACCTAGTAGCAACCTTTTTTCTTTCTCTAATCAACGTTATATTTTTTTGCTTCACAACGCTTTAAAAGTTCTTCATTTTTATCGTCGTAAGGTTGATTATGTAGTTACCAAAGAGAAACTAATTTTAATTGACCTTCTTACTGGTCGTTTGGCTCTCAACCGGGTTTATGGCTCTGGAATACACCAAGCTATTGAAAGTAAAGAAAATCTACTAGTCACTCCTCCTAGCAAGAACATTGCTACTATTACTTACCAAAATTTCTTTCGGCTTTTTACTAAATTGTCAGGCATGACCGGTACAGCCGAAAGCGAGACTAAGGAATTTCGGGAAGTTTACGGGATGGAGGTTATTGTTATTCCTCCTTATCGCAAACTGATTAGAAAGGACCATGAGGCTCTATTTTTCCTTGCCCGAGATAATAAGTACCGAACCATAGTTCGAAAAGTCAAAAAAAACTCTCAAACTCAGAAAAGACCAGTTCTAGTGGGTTCCCCTAGTTTGGAAGTATCTGAACATATTTCACAGTTGTTAACCCAGGAAGGAATTTTTCATCAGGTTTTAAATGCGACTAATCACGAACTCGAAGCCCAAATCATTTCCCAAGCCGGAGAAATGGGTTCCGTGATTGTTTCCACTAACATGGTAGGTCGAGGGGTTGATATTCCTTTGAGTAAAGAAAGTAAGGAGGCCGGGGGGTTGATGGTGATTATAGTTGAGCCTAACTCAGTTTTACGACCCGACCAACAATTTCGGGGACGAGCCGGAAGACAAGGTGATCCAGGCGAAACTTGACTTTATGTTTCGGCAGAAGACGATCTAGTAAAAAATCTTGATATTAAAAAAAAAGTAGCTCAGATTTTTGGTTGACAAGGCCCCAAAGTAGTATTACAACGCCCCTTCGGCGGCAAAGTTATTAATTTGCTTGTTTCGGAAGCCCAAGAAACTCTTCGCAATATTCAATCCGATCACCGACAACGGACCCTTAACCGTGATTTGCTGATTAATCGACAACGAAAGATAACCTACCATTATCGAGAAAAAATATTAACCGGCTCAAAATTAGAAAAGTTGGCCTCCCTTCCCGCTTCAAATAATTTTAATAATCAAAGTGAACATCTTCGTTCGCTTTTGCTCCGTCACGTAGATAATTTTTGGTCTGAATATCTAGAATGTTTAGACAAAATTGACGAACTAACCAAAGTAAGAGTTTGATTGCCTCAAGACCCACAAGAAGCTTTTTTTTGAGAAACCATGGCCTCATTTCACCAAGGATTTCAAAAGTTAAAGAGAAAAGTAGAGAAAGAGATTTTACACTGATTTTCAGTCGGAAATGAGAGTTAATCACGCGTATTATTTTTGTAAAGGAAAAAATTAGTTAATAAGTCGTAAAATTGTAATTAGATTAGAATGTCAGAGATTAGCTGTGAAAAAACCAAGAGTGCTAGAACTCGTTTTGCCCCTAGTCCGACCGGAGATTTACATTTAGGTGGAGCACGAACGGCCTTATTTAATTATTTGGTAGCGAAACAGAAGCGAGGACAATTCATTTTAAGAATTGAAGACACCGATCAACAAAGAAATCATGAAGAATTTGTTTATCGACAATATGAAGATTTGGTTTGATTAGGATACCAACCAGACGAATCTCCTTTTCGAAATAGTAATTATGGTCCTTATCGGCAAATCCAGAGACTAGATATTTACCAAAAATACCTGCAACAATTATTAACAGAAAAAAAGGCTTATTACTGCTTTTGTTCAGCGGTCGAGTTAACCCAAGAAAAAGAAAGATATCTTCAGGAAAATCAAAAAAGTAATTACCAATATTCTCGCAAATGCCTAAAATTAACTCTTGAAGAAGTTAACCTTTTCCTCCGAGAAAAAAAGAGTTATCTTATTCGTTTTCATACTAACCAAGAAAAAAACTATCAATTAATTGACTTAGTTCGTGGCCAAGTAGTTTTTCCTGGTAACGATATTGAAGATTTTGTGCTTTGTCGAAGCAACGGTGTTCCTTTACTAAATTTCGCTGTGGTAGTTGACGACCACACCATGGAAATTAACTATATTTTACGGGGTGAAGAACATTTATCCAATACAGCTAAGCAGTTGGTTTTGTATGAAGCTCTAGGCTGAACTCCACCCCGGTTCGGCCACCTCTCCTTAATCCTTAACCAAGAAAAAAAAAAATTATCCAAAAGAGACCCAGAAACCGGCCAGTTTCAGTTAATAAGACAACTCCGAGAATTAGGCTATTTACCGACTGCCATAACCAACTATTTGCTTTTTCTGGGGTGACATCCCGGCACCACCCAAGAAATTTTTTCGTTGCAAGAAGCTATAAAAAATTTTAACTTAACCGGTTTACACTCTCGCGGTGCCGTTTTCACTTTAACCAAACTTAATTGATATAATAATTATTATATTCAAAACCTAACCCGGGAAGAATTTGCTGACTATTCTTGGTCAGTTTTCCGAAAAAAATACCAATTGCCGGAAAACAAAAAAGAATGAACTACCCAAATTGGACTTTTGTTTCGCCCCCAATTAAACTTTTTTCAAGAATTAATTGATTTGAGCCAATACTTTTTTCAAAAGCCACCAAGGGAAGATAACCATGATACCACAAAGTTAAAAAAAATTGGACAATTACTCACTACAATCGAGAACTGAACCGAAGAAAATGTTTGTAGCATTCTACACAACCAGGAAAGAAAAATATTTCCTCTTTTGCGAAAAAAACTCACAGGTCAAGACCACGGACCGGAATTAGCAAAAATTATTTATTTAGTAGGGAGGCAGGAAACAATTAGCAGGCTTGAACTTTAAAATAAACACAATTGAAACAAAATCTTTCGTGAAAAAACATGCTTAATATGCTTCCCGATAAGAACAAGAAAAATCAACCAGTTCCTCAGAAACTTTTTTGTCATTCAAAAACTTAAATTTTTACCTAACTTCCCACTCGTGCTTCATTTAGACAACTTATCAATTCCCTTCAATATCCTATCCCTGCCCTCTTGCGAAATATTTTTATTATTTCTTACTTCATCTATTTTTTCTTATCAGAAGTTTTTTTCTTAACCATTTTTCGGTCTAGTCTATAAGTCAAAAGTCAAGAAAAATGAGTGAGAAAAGCAACTCAGAAAAAGTAAAAGTTCGAGGTCTGCTCACTTCCCGTATCGAAAAAAAACCCAGTGTGGATATTCCTGCCTACGGTTTTTTTAGTTTGGAAGGAGAGATGAAGACGGATATTCCCGTAGTTTTTCGGATTAGAGACCAAGAAGGGCAATGACTTAAACCCAAAATCCCCAAAAATTCCCTAGTCGATTTAGAAGGGTATTGGGCCAAAAGTTCTAATGGTAATTCTCG